GGATGAAAGCTGTTGTATGTAAAGCTACTGTGCATTTGTTTATTTGTGTTATGGAAACCTTCTTGTTGTAAACCATATTATTTTACTACAAAAAGAAGACTCCTATGGAAGAGATAACATTGGTTTTGTTTATCCCTTTGGGCTACTAGTGCTGGGCCATGCTGCCGTTGATAAATGACATGAATGAGGAGGGTCTTTTGTTCATAAGCCCACTCGCCCGACATATTACTCACCTGTGATGTCACCAGAGCTTTCACCAATGATGTCTTCTCTTGAAAGGCATTGTCCCAAAATCATTGACTTTTTAAAAAACAGGTTAGACCGATGTGAAAGTGGTAAGACAGCATGGAACAAAAGACAACATAAGCAGGTAATGGTTTCCCAACATCTTACTCTGAGATTGCCTGGCTACATGCTGTAGTAGGTATGGGCAAGCTTGGGCCCTCCAGGTGTTTTGGACTTCAACTCCCACCATTCCTAACAGCCTCAGGCCCCTTGATTTTCCCCTTCAGCCGCTTAAGCGGCTGAAGGGGAAAATCAAAGGGCCTGAGGCTGTTAGGAATGGTGGGAGTTGAAGTCCAAAACACCTGGAGGGCCAAAGCTTGCCCATTCCTGTGCTATCATATATCACTCTAACATCTTCTCCTCCTTACATAGGAAGGTGATCCCTTCACAAGAAGAAGGACCGAAAAGGACACCTAATGCTTAGGTGGTGACCACACGGAGCGAGAAAAAAGGGGGATATTGTCCCACTATCTGTCCTCCGTCCGGGTTTTGTTATGGCACACAGAGATGAGAGATGGAGATGGGGCCATCCAGCAAAGCGAAAGCCAAGTTGCCTTGGTAGGCGTTCCAAAGGAGGCATGCACCACAACTTGCCAAGTGTAGTAGCTTAGAAGGGAACTTGCATAGAAAGACATTACAAAGCAGGGAAGAGTGTCCGCAAGACGCAAACAACAAGGTGAGGGACGCGGCGCAGTTGCAGAGTTCCAGTCCTTGGTGTTATGAACGAAAAAAGCCCAATGTTAGAGGATGCAGTGCCTTGAGAAGTGACGCCTGGCTTGAAGTGAAGCCATGAGTAGTAGTCTCCGAACGTATTCTCCCCTACGAACCATCAAGATTACTAAGATCATCTGGAGAGGCCCTGCTCTCGGTCCCACCAGCCTCGCAAGCGCGGCTGGTGGGGACGAGGGACAGGGCCTTCTCGGTGGTGGCCCCACGACTCTGGAACTCTCTCCCTCTGGAGGCCAGAACCGCCCCATCCATCCTAACATTTAGGAAACGGGTGAAGACGTGGCTGTGGAGTCAGGCCTTCGAGGAATGAGACAACACCATAGGACTCTGGGTGGAAGTGGATATAGATCCATCTTAATTGGACGACTGACCACTGTAGTTTTATATTTAGTGTATTTTAAAGTTGATGTGTAATTTGTGATATATGGTATTTTAATGAATGTATATGTTTTTATGGCTGTAAACCGGGCTGAGTCCCTCAATGAGGTTGAGAAGCTCGGTATACCAAACTGTGAAATAAATAAATAAATAAATAAATAAATAAATAAGAGTGTATAAGAGGGAACTTGCATGAATTCTAGGAAAGGCGTTTCTGCGGTGACTTACAGGGAGCGGTCAACCCCCCTGTTTAAGGAGCTCCACTGGCTGCCGTTCATTTTCCGGTCCCAATTCAAGGTGCAGGTGCTTACCTACAAAGCCCCGAATGGTTTGGGACCCGCCTACCTGCGTGACCGCATTTCTGTGTACGAACCCACACGATCTCTTCGATCATCTGGAGAGGCTCTGCTCTCGCTCCCACTTCCTTCGCAGGTGCAATTGGTGGGAATGAGGGAGAAGGCCTTCTCGGTGGTGGCCCCTCGACTCTGGAACTCACTTCCTAAGGACATCAGACATGCCCCAACAATGGCAGTCTTTAGGAGGAGCCTGAAAACGTGGCTGTTCCAGTGTGCCTTCCCAGAATAAAGGAAACCATCCCTTGCAAAATATCCTGAGAAGCACTTTAATTACCTGTTGGGTTGCTCTCTACTTTTGATTTAAAACCCTCCTAATAGAGACACCCTCTGTTTATGACCAGCATTTATTTTTAAAGTTTTAACTATTACATCTGGCCTGGCCATAGGTTTTTAAATTCTTGTGTGTTATTGTCTATGTGTGAGTTATACTAATTGTATTAGGTTCTTGTGGGTTTTTTCGGGCTATATGGCCATGTTCTAGAGGCATTTTTTCCTGACCTTTCGCCTGCATCTGTGGCAAGCGTCCTCAGAGGTAGTGAGGTCTGTTGGAATTAGGACAATGGGTTTATATATCTGTGGAATGGCTGGGGTGGGGCAAAGAGCTCTTCTCTGCTGGAGCTAGGTGTGAATGTTTCAACTGACCACCTTCATTAGCATTTGAAGGCCTGGCTGAGCCTGGGAAAATCTTTTGTTGAGATGTGTTAAGATGTGCCTGGTTGTTTCCTCTCTGCTGTTTTGCTGTTGTAATTTTAGAGTTTTTTTAATACCGGTAGCCAGATTTTGTTCATTTTCATGGTCTCTTCCTTTCTGTTGAAATTGTCCACATGCTTGTGGATTTCAATGGCTTCTCTGTGTCGCCTGACATGGTGGTTGTGAGAGTGGTCCAGCATTTGTGTGTTCTCGAATGATATGCTATGTTGGGTTCATCAGGTGCTCTGCTATGGTTGACTTCTCTGGTTGAAGGAGTGTGCAGTGCCTCTCATGTTCCTTGATTTGTGTCTGGGCAATGCTGCTGCGTTTGGTGGTCCCTCTGGAGACTTGTCCACAGCTGCACGGTACACGGGAGACTCCTGCAGAGGTGAGAGGATCCCTCTTGTCCTTTGCTGAACTGAGCATTGGTTGGATTTTCTTGGTGGGTTTGTAGACCATGAAAATGAACAAAATCTGGCTACCAGTATTAAAAAACTCTAAAATTACAACAGCAAAACAGCAGAGAGGAAACAACCAGGCACATCTTAACACCTCTCAACAAAAGATTTTCCCAGGCTCAGCCAGGCCTTCAAATGCTAATGAAGGTGGTCAGTTGAAACATTCACACCTAGCTCCAGCAGAGAAGAGCTCTTGGCCACACCCCAGCCACAGATATATAACCCACTTTCCTAATTCCAACAGACCTCACTACCTCTGAGGATGCTTGCCATAGATGCAGGCGAAACGTCAGGAGAAAATGCCTCTAGAACATGGCCATATAGCCCGAAAAAACCCACAAGAACCTAGTGATTCCAGCCATGAAAGCCTTTGACAATACACTAATTGTATTGTTTATTTTGCTTATTGCTTGTTGTTTTTATTGATGTGTTGTTGGGTTTGCCTCATGTAAGTTGCTCCAAGTCCCTTGGGGAGATGGTGGCAGGATATAAATAAAGTTATATTATTATTATTATTATTATTATTATTATTATTATTATTATTATTATTGTCGAAGGCTTTCATGGCCGAAATCACTGGGTTGTTGTAGGTTTTTTCGGGCTATATGGTCATGTTCTAGAGGCATTCTCTCCTGACGTTTCGCCTGCATCTATGGCAAGTATATAGATGCAGGCAAAACATCAGGAGAAAATGCTCTAGACCAGGGGTAGGGAACCTTTGGCCCTCCAGCTGTGGTGGACTTCAACTCCCACAATTCCTTGAGGCTCGGCATTCGCCCCAAAGGCTTACCTTGGCCCAGTGCCGAGCCTCAAGGAATTGTGGGAGTTGAAGTCCACCACAGCTGGAGGGCCAAAGGTTCCCTACCCCTGGACCATAGCCATATAGTCCGAAAAAACCTACAACAACCCAATTTTGTGTGGGATTGCCTACTGATAATTCTCATTTCACTCCCCCACTATGCAGAGTGAAATAATGATAATAATAATGGGTTGTTGTAGGTTTTTCGGACTGTATGGCCATGTTCTAGAGGCATTCTCTCCTGACGTTTTGCCTGCATCTATGGCAAGCATCCTCAGAAGTAATGAGGTCTGTTGGAACAAGGGGAAAGGGTTTATATATCTGTGGAATGACCAGGGTGAGACAAAGGACTCTTTTCTGCTGGAGCTAGGTGTGAATGTTTCAACTGACCACCTTCATTAGCATCAAACAAAACAAAAGTTTGCTTCAGGCACAGTCAGCCCATTGTATGCTAATCAAGGTGGTCAGTTGAAACATTCACACCTAGATCCTAGGCTTGGGTAACCACGGAAAAAATTGGTTCTAAACTCGTTTTGCTTTTAGGGGGCCCCTGCATTTTGTTTTTTTTAATAATTCCGAAATTTTCTTTTTAAAAATTTCAAAATATACGAAATTTAGTAAAATTACGAATCGATTCGTTAATGGCGGACGCGATTGCGCAATATGCTAAAAAAACCTCCAAATGGGACAGGGAGAACTTCTGAAGCTTCCCTCTCCCTCTGTTGTGGACTGTTGGTGTGATAAAACAAACAACAACTATGAAACTTGCACCAGACATGCGAAAATAATTACGAAATAATTACGAAATAAATTGAAAAAATTGTTTCGAATATTTATTACTCCTCACACAATTCCTGCATGGCTCAATATTGGATCGTAAGCTAATTTAAATACGAATTAATAACGAATTACGAAATTAACGAACGAAACCGCCCAAGCCTACTAGATCCAGCAGACAAGAGTCCTTTGTCTCACCCTGGTCATTCCGCGAAGTAGCGAACCGCGAAGTAGCGAGGGGCCACTCTATATCTACAAAAACTCATGCTAAAATCAAAGCCAGTTCGTATTTCCCCTTTTCCCCCAATCCTCTTCCTCCTCCTGTTTTCCCAAAGTTTTCTTTTCTCAGTTGTAATGCCCAATTCTGTTCTCTAGGGGACACTCTACCCAGAGTCATTTTCAAAGACTGCAGTGACACCTATTGGCAGGGCTAGGGACTGCACCCTCTCCACAAAGAGGAAGAGAAGAAAGCGTTAGCCGCTGGGGTGAAGGAAGCCGGAGAAAGCCACCCGTGCCAAAGGGCACTACCTGAGAAGAAGTGTGCTTTGAAGCCCTTCTTGGAGACAGTGTTGTCCGACTTGAACTCAATGCGCATGTTGTTGTACTGGGAGGTGATTACGTCAGGCGCGTCCGTCCCACAGAATTTGCCGTGCAATTTGGCCTCGGCGTTGAGGCCGCTACGCACTTCCACAAAGTCGTATTTGCACACCTGTGGGAAGAGCAGGGAGAGACGGCTCATTCACTACTATTAGAGAAAGAAGGCAGGAAGATAGAAGGGGATACAACGCAAAGGAGGCCAAGCACGGGGTGTAGATTTGCCAAATAGCTTACCACAACAACAACAACAACAACAATTTTATATTCTGAGGCCAAGCACTGGGTGTAGATTTGCCAAATAGCTTACAACAACAACAACAGTAACAACAACAACAACAACAACAACAACAACAACAACAACAATTTTATATTCTGAGGCCAAGCACGGGGTGTACATTTGCCAAATAGCTTACCACAACATTTTTATATTCTGGGGTCAAGCACTGGGTGTAGATTTGCCAAATAGCTTACAACAACAACAGTAATAACAACAACAACAACAACAACAACAACAACAACAATTTTATATTCTGAGGCCAAGCACTGGGTGTAGATTTGCCAAATAGCTTACAACAACAACAACAACAACAACAACAACAACAACAATTTTATATTCTGAGGCCAAGCACTGGGTGTAGATTTGCCAAATAGCTTACAACAACAACAACAGTAATAACAACAACAACAATAATTTTATATTCTGAGGCCAAGCACTGGGTGTAGATTTGCCAAATAGCTTACAACAACAACAACAGTAATAACAACAACAACAACAACAACAACAATTTTATATTGTGAGGCCAATCACTGGGTGTAGATTTGCCAAATAGCTTACAACAACAACAACAACAATTTTATATTCTGAGGCCAAGCACTGGGTGTAGATTTGCCAAATAGCTTACAACAACAACAACAGTAATAACAACAACAATAATTTTATATTCTGAGGCCAAGCACTGGGTGTAGATTTGCCAAATAGCTTACAACAACAACAACAGTAATAACAACAACAATAATTTTATATTCTGAGGCCAAGCACTGGGTGTAGATTTGCCAAATAGCTTACAACAACAACAACAGTAATAACAACAACAACAACAACAATTTTATATTCTGAGGCCAAGCACTGGGTGTAGATTTGCCAAATAGCTTACAACAACAACAACAGTAATAACAACAACAACAACAACAACAACAATTTTATATTCTGAGGCCAAGCACTGGGTGTAGATTTGCCAAATAGCTTACAACAACAACAACAGTAATAACAACAACAACAACAACAATTTTATATTCTGAGGCCAAGCACTGGGTGTAGATTTGCCAAATAGCTTACAACAACAACAACAACAACAACAACAACAACAACAACAACAATTTTATATTCTGAGGCCAAGCACTGGGTGTAGATTTGCCAAATAGCTTACAACAACAACAACAGTAATAACAACAACAACAACAACAATTTTATATTCTGAGGCCAAGCACTGGGTGTAGATTTGCCAAATAGCTTACAACAACAACAACAGTAATAACAACAACAACAACAACAACAACAATTTTATATTCTGAGGCCAAGCACTGGGTGTAGATTTGCCAAATAGCTTACAACAACAACAACAGTAATAACAACAACAACAACAACAACAACAACAACAACAATTTTATATTCTGAGGCCAAGCACTGGGTGTAGATTTGCCAAATAGCTTACAACAACAACAACAACAACAACAACAACAACAACAATTTTATATTCTGAGGCCAAGCACTGGGTGTAGATTTGCCAAATAGCTTACAACAACAACAACAGTAATAACAACAACAACAATAATTTTATATTCTGAGGCCAAGCACTGGGTGTAGATTTGCCAAATAGCTTACAACAACAACAACAGTAATAACAACAACAACAACAACAACAACAATTTTATATTGTGAGGCCAATCACTGGGTGTAGATTTGCCAAATAGCTTACAACAACAACAACAACAATTTTATATTCTGAGGCCAAGCACTGGGTGTAGATTTGCCAAATAGCTTACAACAACAACAACAGTAATAACAACAACAATAATTTTATATTCTGAGGCCAAGCACTGGGTGTAGATTTGCCAAATAGCTTACAACAACAACAACAGTAATAACAACAACAATAATTTTATATTCTGAGGCCAAGCACTGGGTGTAGATTTGCCAAATAGCTTACAACAACAACAACAGTAATAACAACAACAACAACAACAATTTTATATTCTGAGGCCAAGCACTGGGTGTAGATTTGCCAAATAGCTTACAACAACAACAACAGTAATAACAACAACAACAACAACAACAACAACAATTTTATATTCTGAGGCCAAGCACTGGGTGTAGATTTGCCAAATAGCTTACAACAACAACAACAACAACAACAACAACAACAACAACAATTTTATATTCTGAGGCCAAGCACTGGGTGTAGATTTGCCAAATAGCTTACAACAACAACAACAACAACAACAACAACAACAACAATTTTATATTCTGAGGCCAAGCACTGGGTGTAGATTTGCCAAATAGCTTACAACAACAACAACAGTAATAACAACAACAACAATAATTTTATATTCTGAGGCCAAGCACTGGGTGTAGATTTGCCAAATAGCTTACAACAACAACAACAGTAATAACAACAACAACAACAACAACAACAATAACAACAATTTTATATTCTGAGGCCAAGCACTGGGTGTAGATTTGCCAAATAGCTTACAACAACAACAACAGTAACAACAACAACAACAACAACAACAACAACAACAACAATTTTATATTCTGAGGCCAAGCACTGGGTGTAGATTTGCCAAATAGCTTACAACAACAACAACAACAACAACAACAACAACAACAATTTTATATTCTGAGGCCAAGCACTGGGTGTAGATTTGCCAAATAGCTTACAACAACAACAACAGTAACAACAACAACAACAACAACAACAACAACAACAATTTTATATTCTGAGGCCAAGCACTGGGTGTAGATTTGCCAAATAGCTTACAACAACAACAACAACAACAACAACAACAACAACAACAACAATTTTATATTCTGAGGCCAAGCACTGGGTGTAGATTTGCCAAATAGCTTACAACAACAACAACAACAACAACAACAACAACAACAACAATTTTATATTCTGAGGCCAAGCACTGGGTGTAGATTTGCCAAATAGCTTACAACAACAACAACAGTAACAACAACAACAACAACAACAACAATTTTATATTGTGAGGCCAATCACTGGGTGTAGATTTGCCAAATAGCTTACAACAACAACAACAACAACAACACTAATGATAATAATAATTATTATTTTATATTCTGAGGCCAAGCACTGGGTGTCGGTTTGCCAAACAGCTTACAACAACAAGGAGGCCAACATACAAAATGATTAAAAGGTAAGTAGTTCAATAAGGTGGATAGGAATATAACTGGCACAGGAGATATCATGGAAACAGAGCAATTTGACAGGAACAGGGTCATCTCAGTTTAACATACATATATGAATAATGATGTAATATAGGAATTCAGGTTAAATAGTGAAAATAGATCACAGTACAATCGTTTGTCATAGGGGTCATCAGTTGAAGGCACAACAAAACATCCATGTCTTTATTTATTTATTTATTTATTTATTTACCGCATTTATTGACCGCCGCTCTCAGCCCTAGGGCGACTCGCAGCGGTGCACAACATATAAAAACAGTTTACAAAAAGGGCAAAACAGGGAATCAATACAACAATAATACACTATAATCTAGTTACACTAAATAATCCGCTCCGTCACATCATAGAATCATAACCAATATCGTAATCCGTATTCCGTTCCAGTTGTCAATTACCAGTTGCCGTAGCGCTCAGTTGAATGCCTTCTCAAATAGCCAGGTCTTCAGGCTCTTTCGGAAGGACAGAAGGGAAGGCGCCTGTCTGATGTCAGCAGGGAGGTCGTTCCACAGCTGGGGGGCCACCACCGAGAAGGCCCTTTCTCTCGTCCCCGCCAGACGTGCCTGTGAAGCAGGCGGGATCGAGAGAAGGGCCTCCCCAGACGATCTCAAGGTCCTCGTGGGCTCATAGGCCAAGATGCGGTCCGAAAGGTATTTTGGGCCGGAACCGTTTAGGGCTTTGTAGGATAGCACCAGCACCTTAAATTGGGCCCGGTAGCAAATCGGCAGCCAGTGGAGCTGGAACAGCAAGGGCGTTGTATGCTCCCTGCGTCCCGCTCCTGTTAGTAACATGGCTGCCGCGCGCTGAACTAGCTGAAGTTTCCGGGCCGTCTTTAAGGGCAGCCCCACGTAGAGAGCGTTGCAGTAGTCAAGGCGGGATGTGACCAGAGCGTGTACCACCATGGCCAAGTCAGACTTCCCAAGGTACGGGCGCAGCTGGCGCACGAGCCTAAGCTGTGCGAATGCTCCCCTGGTCACCGCTGAAACCTGGGGATCCAGGCTCAATGATGAATCCAGGATCACACCCAAGCTGCGAACCTGCGCCTTCAAGGGGAGTGCGACCCCATCCAGCACAGGCTGTAACCCTATACCCTGTTCGGCCTTGCGACTGACCAGGAGTACCTCTGTCTTGTCTGGATTTAATTTCAGTTTGTTCGCCCTCATCCAGACCATTACAGCGGCCAGGCACCGGTTCAGGACCTCGACAGCCTCCTGAGTAGCAGGTGTGGCTAGGAAGGGTGCCTGCCTAATCTCCCTAGGGAGGGAGTTCCTGAGATGGGGGGCCACCACCAAGAATGCCCTCTCCCTCGTCCCCACCAATCGCGCCTGAGACGGGGGCAGGAGTGAGAGAAGAGCATCCCCGGAAGATCTTAAGGACTGTGTGGGCTCATAGGGGAGGAGGAGGTGGCACAGATAGGCAGGCCCTGAACATATATTGTATGTATATATATCTTGTAAGCTGCTCTGAGTCCCCTTCGAGGTGAGAAGGGCGGCATATAAATACCATAAATAAATAAATAAATCCTCAAGTCAAGTACTCACGTCATTGCCCTCCGTCTCAAAGAAGTCAAACTGCAGCGATATGCGGTACTGGGTGGGTGCAACGAGCTGCCAGATGCAGTTCTTGTTGGGTGGGTATTCCTTTGGCCACCCAGGGCTGGTGATGGAGCCGTTGAGCTTGGTGAGGAACCCACCACAGGCAGCTGCAAGGCAGGGAACCCAACAGGTCAGTCCAAAGCGACGTGAGAACCAGACAGGTTGACCATCCCTTATCCAAAATATTTCGGCTCATCTGGTTTGTTAAATAAATCAAATGCTACTACCTTGTCATCTCAGCCTCATTACATGAAAGGAGGCCAGAATTGTGTCCAAAATAAGCTCTTCTTTCGGGATGCTCACCTTCACATCTGCGTTTGTCCGGAGCCAGTTCATAGCCGGGGTCGCAGGCGCACTTGTAGCTGCCCAGCGTATTCACACAACGTTGCTCACACCCGCCGTTGTTTGGTCTGGAGCACTCATCCACTTCTAAAATAAACAAGGAGGATGGATCTCAATGTGTGGTTCATAAAAAGCCCGACGCCACATTGCCAGATTTTTACTCCACATGTCGCATTATCATGGGGTGCCTGCACCCTACACCACTGGAGAAATTGCACTGTCTAGCCCAGCGTTTCTCAACCTGGGGGTCGGGACCCCTGTGGGGGTCACGAGGGGGTTTCAGAAGGGTCGCCAAAGACCATCAGAATACACAGTATTTTCTGTTGTTTATGGGGGTTCCGTTTGGGAAGTTTGGCCTAATTCTATCATTGATGGGGTTCAGAATGCTCTTTGTAGGCAAACTATAAGTCTCAGCAACTACAATTCCCAAATCTCAAGGTTGATTTTCCCCAAACTTCATCTGTCTTCACATTTGGGCATATTGAGTATTCATGCCAGGTTTGGTCCAGATCCATCATTGTTTGAGTCCACAGTGCTCTCTGGATGTGGTGAACTACAACTCCAAAACTTAAGGTCAATGCCCGCAAACCATTCCAGTATTTTCTGTTGGTCATGGGAGTTCTGTGAACCAAGTTTGGTTCAATTCCATAGTTGGTGGAGTTCAGAATACTCTCTGATGTAGGTCAGGGGTAGGGAACCTTTGGCCCTCCAGCTGTGGTGGACTTCAACTCCCACAATTCCTTGAGGCTCGGCATTCGCCCCAAAGGCTTACCTTGGCCCAATGCCGAGCCTCAAGGAATTGTGGGAGTTGAAGTCCACCACAGCTGGAGGGCCAAAGGTTCCCTACCCCTGATGTAGGTGAACTATAAATCCCAGCAACTACAACTCCCAAATGACAAAATGACAAAATAAATCTCCCCAACCCCACTACTATTTAGATTTGGGCATATTGAGTATTTGTGTCAAATTTGGTCCAGTGAATGAAAATACATCCTGCATATCAGATATTTACATCATAACAGTAGCAAAGTTGCAGTTACGAAGTAGCAACAACAATAATTTTATGGTTGGGGGTCACCACAGCATGAGGAACTGTATTAAGGGGTCGTGACATTAAGAAGGTTGAGAACCACTGGTCTAGCCAGTATTGTACCACCTGACATCCGCCGGGAAGTAGCAGCCAATAGTGAAAGGACCAAGGCAGTGACATCTCCAGCCCATCCCCTGTTTGGGTATCAGCCAGCACGTCAACGACTCAAATCCAGACATAGTTTTCTAAGATTTACAGAGACACTTGCTGGAACACCCCAGCAAGCGAGAGTCCAAAACTGGCAGGCTAAAACCCAGAACCTCAATCAATGGCTGATACCAAATGAGAGACTCCCCCCTGGGCACACAGAGGACTGGGCGAATTGGAAGGCGCTGAACAGACTGCGCTCTGGCACCACCAGATGCAGAGCCAACCTTCAGAAATGGGGCCACAAAGTGGAACCCACGCCATGTGAGTGTGGAGAAGAGCAATCCACTGACCACCTGCTGCAATGCACCCTGAGCCCCACCACATGATGCACAAGGGAGGACCTCCTTGTGGCAACACCAGAGGCACTCCAAGGGGCCAGATACTGGTCACAGGACATTTAATCCACTACCAAGCTTGCAAACTCTGTGTCTTTTGTATGTTTGTTTGTTTGTTCTGTCAAAAATGTAATACAACTGTTCAGTTGCCTGACACGATAAATAAAATAAATAAATTCCACTGTTAAAACTCTGTTGAGATGTCCAGCTCTATTTCATTTGCACACCTGGTACGTCACAGAGCTAAGTACTGAAACCAAGGTCCCATGCATCTACACTGCCATATAATGCATTGAGCTAGATCAGTGTATCTCAACACTCCTAATGCTGCGACCCCTTAATGCAGGTCCTCATGTGGTGGTGACCCCCAACCATAACATTATTTTTGTTGCTACTTCAGAACTGTAATTTGGCTACTGTTCCGAATCATCATGTAAATATCGGATTTGCAGGATGTATTTCCATTTACTGGACCAAATCTGGCACAAAATCCCGATTCGCCCAAATTTGAATACTGGTGGGGTTGGAGTGGGTTGATTTTGTCACTTGTAGTTGTAGTTGCTGGGATTTATAGTTCACCTACAACCAGAGGCGGCCCTAGGTAATTTTCAACGGTAAGCAAACAGTATTTTGCCGCCCCCCCCCTCCCCAATCTATCATTGATATGTATTTTCTGTTCGCTGTGGGAGTTCTGTGTGCCATATTGGGTTCAATTCCATCATTGGTGGAGTTCAGGATGCTCTTTGATTGTAGGTGAACTATACATCCCAGTAACTACAACTCGCATATGTCAAGGTCTATTTTCCCCCAAGAGCACCTCAAGAACGCCCCTGGGCAACATCAACTCCACTGTAAAGGCTTACTTTGCGTAATGGGTTGAGCCGCCCCTGCCTACAATCCATCATTGGTGAAGTTCAGCGTGCTCTTTGGTTGTAGGCAGGGGCGGCTGAACCCATTACGCAAAGGAAGCCTTTGCAATATAGTTGAACTATACAGAATTCCCATGACCAACAGAAAATGCTGGAAGGGTTTGGTGGACACTGAGCTTGGTTTTGGAGTTGTAGTTCACCTACATCCAGAGAGCACTGTGGACTCAAACAATGATGGATCTGGATGGATCTGGATCTGGACCAAATTTGGCACAAATACTCAATATGCCCAAGTGTGTACACTGGTGGAATTTGAGGAAAGCAGTCCTTGACATTTGGGAGTTGTAGTATTAGGATTTATAGTTCACCTACAATCAAAGAGCATTCTGAACTTCACCAATGATGGAATTGATCCAAGCTTGGCACACAGAACTCTCATGACCAACGGAAAATACTGGAAGGGTTTGGTGGGCATTGACCTTGAGTTTTGGAGTTGTAGTTCACCTACATCCAGAGAGTGACGTGGACTCAAACAATGATGGATCTGGACCAAACTTGGCACGAATACTCCATATGCCCAAGTGTGAAGTTTGGGGAAAATAGATCTTGACATTTGGGAGCTGTAATTGCTGAGATTTATAGAATTGGACCAAACTTCCCCCACAGAACTCCCATGTCTTAATAATAATAATAATAATAATAATAATAATAATAAGTATGTATGTATGTATTGTTGATGTTGCAATCCCAGGTGACAGTAGGATTGAAGAGGAACAACTGGAAAAACTGACACAATATGAGGATTTAAAGACTGAACTGCAAGGACTCTGGCACAAGCCAGTCAAGGGGGTCCCAGTGGTGATCGGCAGACTGGGTGCAGCGCCTCAAGACCTTGGCCTGCACTTAAACACAATCGGCGCTGACAAGATTACAATCTGCCAGCTGCAGAAGGCCACCTTACTGGGATCTGCACGCATGATTCACTGATACATCACACAGTCCTAGACACTTGGGAAGTGTCCGATGTGTGATCTAATACAACAGCCAGCAGAGTGCTGTTAGCCCCAGCTTCTGCCAACCTAGCAGTTTGAAAACATGCAAGTGTGAGTAGATCAATAGGTATTGCTTCTGCAGGAAGGTAACAGCACTCCATGTAGTCATGCTAGTGGCCACATGACCTTGGAGGTGTCTACGGACGACGCCAACTCTTTGGATTAGAAATGGAGATGAGCACCAACCCCCAGAGTTGGTTACAACTAGGCTTAATGGTTACAACTAGGCTTACCTTTACCTTTAGACCCAGACTAAGACAGGATGACATATAGCTTGTGTGGACAGAACAGAATCTCTCTTCTGGGCCAAGAGGGTGGTTGGTGCTTACGAAAGCTTAGCAAAAATTGATGTATTTTTTTCCTTGTGATACCTGCCTCCCAGTGGCCAAAAGAGGAACACTGCACATTCCCAAAATATATAGGACTTTGTATGTCGAAGGCTTTCATGGCTGGAATCACTGGGTTGTTGTAGGTTTTTTTCGGGCTGTATGGCTATGGTCTAGAGGCATTCTCTCCTGATGTTTCGCCTGCACTTTGGCAAGCATCCTCAGAGGTAGTGAGGTCTTTGTTGTTGTTGTTATATAGGACTTTGTTGTTGTTGTTCATTTGTTCAGTAGTTTCCGACTCTTTGTGACCTCCTGGACCAGCCCAGGCCAGAGCTCCCTGTTGGCGTCACCACCCCCAGCTCCTTCAAGGTCAATCCAGTCCCTTCAAGGATGCCATCCATCCATCCATCTTGCCCTTGGTCGGCCCCTCTTCCTTTTTCCTTCCATTTCCCCCAGCATCATTCTCTTCTCTAAGCTTTCCTCTTTCTCTTCTCTAAGGCCAAAGGACTTCATCTTGGCATCTTCCATCCTTCCCTCCAATGAGCAGTCGGGCTTTATTTCCTGGAGGATGGACTGGTTGGATCTTCTTGCTCTCCAAGGCACTCTCAGAACTTTCTTCCAGCACCACAGTTCCAAAGCATCTCTCTTCCTTTGGTCAGTCTTCCTTCTGGTCCACCACCCCCAGCTCCTTCAAGGTCAATCCAGTCACTTCAAGGATGCCATCCATCCATCTTGCCCTTGGTCGGCCCCTCTTCCTTTTTCCTTCCATTTTCCCCAGCATCATTCTCTTCTCTAAGCTTTCCTGTCTTCTCATGATGTGGCCAAAGGACTTCATCTTGGCATCTTCCATCCTTCCCTCCAATGAGCAGTCGGGCTTTCTTTCCTGGAGGATGGACTGGTTGGATCTTCTTGCTCTCCAAGGCACTCTCAGAACTTTCTTCCAGCACCACAGTTCCAAAGCGTCTCTCTTCCTTTGGTCAGTCTTCCTTCTGGTCCACCACCCCCAGCTCCTTCAAGGTCAATCCAGTCACTTCAAGGATGTCATCCATCCATCTTGCCCTTGGTCGGCCCCTCTTCCTTTTTCCTTCCATTTTCCCCAGCATTAGGCCTGGGTAACAACGGAAAAATTTGTTTCTAAAATCGATTCGTTTTTTGGGGGTTTTTGCGTTTCGATTTTTAAAAGAATTCCGAAATTTTCCTTTTAAAAAGTTCGATATTTACGAAATTTCGTAACTCACAAAACAATATGAAACAATTACGAATTGATTCGTTAATGGCGGACGCGACCGCGCAATACGCTAAAAACCCTCCAAATGGGACGGGGGGAACTTCTGAAGCTTCCCTCTCCCTCTGTTGTTGACTGTTGGTGTGATATTTATAATTTTTTTTCACTGATTAAACAAACAAAAACTATACAACTTGCCCCAGACATGCGGAAATAATAACAAAATGATTTCAAAACGATAATGAAACGAATACAAAACAAATCCGAAGCAATTACGAAACGAATTTAAAAATTCATTTCGTTTTTTAGATGCTCCTGAATGGTTCGTTATCGCTTCGTTATATATATAAAAAAATAACGAATTTTTAACGAATTACGAAATTACGAAACGAAACCGCCCAGCCCTACCCAGCATCATTCTCTTCTCTAAGCTTTCCTTTCTTCTCATGATGTGGCCAAAGGACTTCCACTTTGTCTCTACTCTCCTTCCCTCCAATGAGCTTTAGTCGGGCTTTCTTTCCTGGAGGATGGACTGGTTGGATCTTCTTGCAGTCCAAGGCACTCTCAGAACTTTCCTCCAACACCACAGCTCAAAAGCATCGATCTTCCTTCGCTCAGCCTTCCCGAAGGTCCAGCTCTCACCTCCGTAGGTGACTACAGGGAATGCCATGGCTTTGACTAGGCAATGGGTCTTTGTTGCCAGTCTGATGTCTCTACTCTTTACTCTTTTATCGAGACTGGACCTTGCTCTCCTCCCAAGAAGGAAGCATCTCCTGATGTCCTGGCCACAGTCTGCATCTGCACTCATTTTTGCGCCTAGAAATACAAACCCTGTCACGGCCTCCACATTTTCTCCCTCTATTTCCCAGTTGTCAATCATTCTTGTTGCCATAATCTTGGTTTTTTTTATGTTTAGCTGCAAACCAGCTTTTGCGCTTTCTTCCCTCACCTTGGTGAAAAGGCTCCTCAGCTCCTCCTCACATCAAAGTGGTGTCATCTGCATATCTAAGGTTGCTAATGTTTCTTCCAGCAATTTTCACCCCAGCCTTGCATTTGTCAAGCCCCGCACATCGCATGATGTGTTCTGCATCCAAGTGGAATAGGTTGGGTGAGAGGATGCAGCCTTGCCGGACGCCTTTCCCAATCTTGAACCAGTCTGTTGTTCCTTGGTCAGTTCTTCCTGTTGCTCCTTGGTCCTGATACAGATCCCTCAGGAGACAGACAAGGTGATTTGGGATGTCCATCCCACCAAGAACATGCCACAATTTATTATTTATTTATTGTGTCAGTATCAACCAGACAATTGTATTACATTTTTAACAAATTTTTAACAAACAGACAAAACAGAGTTTGCAAACTTCCCATTCTATTAAATGTCCTTTGGGCATTATCTGGCCCCTTGGAGTGCCTCTGGTGTTGCCGCAAGGAGGTCCTCCCTTGTGCATGTGGCAGGGCTCAGGGTGCATTGCAGCAGGTGGTCTGTAGTTTGCTCTTCTCCACACTCGCATGTCGTGGATTCCACTTTGTGGCCCCATTTCTGAAGGTTGGCTCTGCATCTCGTGGTGCCAGAGCGCAGTCTGTTCAGCGCCTTCCAAGTCGCCCCGTCTTCTGTGTGTCTCTCATTTGGTATCAGCCATTGGATTGAGGTTCTGGGTTTGAGCCTGCCACTTTTGGACTCTTGCTTGCTGAGGTGTTCTAGCGAGTGTCTCTGTAGATCTTAGAAAACTATTTCTAGATTTAAGTCATTGATGTTCTGGTTGATACCCAAACAGGGGATGAGCTGGAGATGTCTCTGCCTTGGTCCTTTCACTATTGGCTGCCACTTCCCGGCGGATGTCAGGTGGTGCAATACCGGCTAAGCAGTGTAATTTCTCCAGTGGTGTAGGGCGCAGAGACCCCGTGATAATGCGGCATGTCTCATTAAGAGCCACATCCACTGTTTTAGCGTGGTGAGATGTGTTCCACACTGGGCATTTTATTATGATCCACACAGTCAAAGGCTTTAGAATATGTATTGTCGAAGGCTTTCATGGCCGGAATCACTGGGTTGTTGTAGGTTTTTTTTGGGCTGTATGGCCATGGTCTAGAGGTCCTGGGTGGCACAGTGGGTTAAACCCTTGTGCCGGCAGGACTGAAGACCAACAGGTCAGAGTTTCGAATCCAGGGAGAGCGCATATGAGCTCCCTCTGTCAGCTCCAGCTCCACATGCAAAAGGGACATGAGCGAAGCCTCTCACAACATCAAAACATCCGGGCAATGTCCTTGCAGACAGCCAGTTTTCTCATACCAGAAGCGACTTGCAGTTTTTCAAGTTGCTCCTGACATGGAAAAAAACAACAACTTGATTTGTGCTAGATTTTAACAGCTGGCCAAAGCAACCCTTTATATATACAAACTAAGTAGATGGTGATGGTTTTATTTTCCACTGGATACCTGGGAATGCTCTTCTCACTGGCAATCTGGGATTTGCTCCCAGCTCCAGAAAAATCCGATACCTTTGAGGCTCAAGAGAAGGTCTGGGGAGAGAGCCGTACCTTTGAAGAAGTTGACTGCAAAGCCGGCTTTGTTGATGGACCCGTCGGACACAAACTTCATCCACAACTTGTTGGAGGTGCTCTTGATGTCGTCGGGCTTGTCGTAACCACAGTACCTTCCAATCAGGGTGCCGGACTCTGTGCCCCCATCCCGGATCTCCAGGTTGTCGTAAGCGCAGCTGTCGTGGCGCTCGATCTGCAGAAAAGGGTTGAGATTGGGAATGGAAAATATGCACATTTTCTCAATTCCAAGATACCATCGATGGTAAGATGCACACCAATTTCAGTACCACCACCACCACCACAAAAAATAAATACATAAGACACCTACAACTCTATGGTCCCCTTCCTGCAGCCATATAATACAGAATATCAAGGCAGATAATCCACAATATCTGCTTTGGACTAGGCTATCTGAGTCCACACTGCCATATAATCCAGTTCAATGTGCTCTACCAGTCTTGCTAAATTGGAGAAGTTACAAGCAAATGGGCCAAACCCTTTTCATCATAGAGAGTTTCATCTATGCTGATGATCGTGCCATCACTGCTCAAGCAAGGAGCTTCGAGATGGTTGAGCAGAAGCTCTCCGAAGCTCTAGGTGCTCTTACTGCCTATTACAGGGAAAACCAACTGATCCCTAATCCATCTAAAACACAGACATGTGTGCTTTTCACCTCAAGAACAGAGAAGCATCCCGAGCTCTGAGGATGATTACCTGGGAAGGAATCCCACTGGAGCATTGCAGCACACCCAAATCCCTGGGAGTCACTCTGGACCACGCTCTGACTTACTGCCTAAATATCAAGCAAAAAGTGGGTGCTAGAAAAATATCGTACGAAAGCTGACTGGCACAACCTGGGGATCACAACCAGACACAGTGAAGACATCTGCCCTTGCGCTATGCTACTCTGCTGCCGAGTATGCATGCCCACTGTGGAACACATCTCACCACGCTAAAACATTGGATGGGGCTCTTAATGAGACATGCCGCATGATCACGGGGTGCCTGTGCCCTACACCACTGGAGAAATTACACTGCTTAACTGGTATTGCACCACCTGACATCCGCCGGGGAGTAGCAACCAATAGTGAAAGGACCAAGGCAGAGACATCTCCAGCTCATCCCTTGTTTGGGTATCAGCCAGCACGTCAACGACTTACATCAAGAAATAGTTTTCCAAGATCTACAGAGACACTCGCTGGAACACCTCAGCAAGTGAGAGTCCAAAAGTGGCAGGCTCAACCAATGGCTGATACCCAATGAGAGACTCCCCCCTGGGCACACAGAAGAAGACGGGGCGATTTGGAAGGCGCTGAACAGACTGCGCTCTGACACCACGAGATGCAGAGCCAACCTCAAGAAATGGGGCCACAAAGTGGAACCCACGACATGCGAGTGTGGAGAAGAGCAAACCCCTGACCACCTGCTGCAATGCACCCTGAGCCCTGCCACATGCACGATGGAGGACCTTCTTGCGGCAACACCAGAGGCACTCCAAGGGGCCAGAGACTGGTCAAAGGACATCTAATCCACTACCAAGCTTGCAAACTTTGTGCTTTGTCTGTTTGTTTTTAAAAAATGCAATACAACTGTTTGGTTCGCTCCTGACATGATAAATCAATCAATCAATCAATCATATGGGTTAAAACTGCTTGGGACCAGGCTTCTGTTACCTCAAAGGATAGGAAGGAGAGGCCCACGTGGTATCCTTCAGAGACAGTAACCTTCCAGATGCACAATTTATTGGGCCGGTAGTCGTCTGGATAGTTGGGAGACTGGATGTGCCCGTTGTCTTTCTTCACCTCTCCTCCACAGATGGCTGCAAGAAGAACATAAGAGTATAAGACAGGAAGCCCAATGAGATACAATGCAGCTCCTCTTGGGAAGGTCAGGGGGAAATGGACGTGGTTTCAGAGGGGTCACCAAAGACCACCAGGAAACATATTTCTGATGGTCTTAGGAAGCCATTTGTCAGGGAAGGCTGAAGATCTCTCTGCCTCTCCTTCTCTTCCTTTTTGGGCTGTTTCTGAGGTTCCAAGCAGGCAGGGGAGAGCAGGCATGCTCGGCGCATGTCAGCATGGTGTGCATGTGGGCTGAGGGAGAGTGTCCGAGGCTGGAGGGAGAGAACGTTTACCTGTTGGGACCTCTGAAAGACACCTGCATAGCTTCCGATTCAGTGAGCACATGCAAGTGTGGGAGAGTGTGCAAGGTTGGAGAGAGGGCTGTTTCTGAGGTTCCAAGCAGGCAGAGGAGAGCAGGCATGTTTGCCGCATGTCACCATGGTGTGCATGTGGGCCGAGGAAGAGTGTGGAGGCTGGAGAGAGAGCACTTTTACTTGTTGGGACCTCTGAAAGACAACCTACATAGTTTCAGATTCAGTGAGCACGTGCAGGTGTAGGAGAGCATGTGAGGTTGGAGAGAGGGCTGTTTCTGAGGTTCCAAGCAGGCAGGGGAGAGCAGGCATGCTTGGTGCATGTCAGCATGGTGTGCATGTGGGGCTGAGGGAGAGCGTGCGAAGCTGGAGAGAGAGGACTTTTACTTGTTGGGATCTCTGAAAAAGAACCTTTCTGATTCAGTGAGCACATGCAGGTGGGTGAGCATGCGAGGTTGGAAGGAGGGCTGTTTCTGAGGTTCCAAGCAGGCAGGAGGTTCCAAGCAGGCAGGCATGCTCGGTGAATGTCAGCATGGTGTGCATGTGGGTTGAGGGAGATTGTGCGAGGCTGGAGGGAGAGGACTTTTATCTATTGATACCTCTGAAAGACAACCTAGGTGGTTTTTGATTCAGTGGCTTGAATGATGTTTAAAAAGCTTTAAAATTATAGGTCACGAAGCAAAACCATTAATTTTTCCAACATGGTTTTGATAACTGGTTTAAACGATGGCACAAATGTGTACAAATTGACGGTGACTGTGTTGAACGGCGGTTTTGCATAGAGGGCAGTTCAGGCTATGATCTGGACCAACCTCTGCTGTTATATGTTCGTTCACAACATTTTTGTGACACTGGAGGCAAAATTTTGTGACCCACCCTCGTATGGCAGCGTGGTGTGCATGTGCAGCCGAGGGAGAGCATGTGAGGATGGCGGGAGAGGACTTTTACCTGTTGGGACCTCTGAAAGAGAACTTACTTTGTTTCAGATTCAGTGACTTGAATGATGTAAAAATTATGAGTCATGGAGCAAAACTTTGAATTTTTCCAAAATAGTTTTGATGCTTGGATTAAACGATGGTGCAAATGTGTACAAATTGATGGTGATTGTGTTGAATGGTAGTTTTGTGTAGAGGGCAATTCAGGTTACGATCTGTAGCAACCCCTGCCATTCATTCATAATGTTTTTATGACACAGGAGGCAAAAAAAATTGACCCACCCTCGTATATGTGTGTGTATCAGGAGTCAATTTCTGATGACATGGAGTCATCACAAATTCCCTCCGTGACATCCTGACTGAATTATCTGGACTGAATCAATTCTCTCTGTGACATTCCGGAAACCATGTTATGGAACTTGTGAAGCAACAAGTTCTAATAAGGAAACTGAGAAGAGGAAGTGGTGGTGGGAAAAAGTCAGTCGTGTCTTTCTTTGCTGCGTAGATGCAAGCAATATATCCATTTCAAAGCAAGCCTGCTTGTGAGTGGTTATTTAATATTGCTATTTAGATCCTACAATCTGATAGTGTGTGCATGCGTACGCATGTGCACACGCACACATGCACATCCCTTAAGGCTGGCACACAGGGCAAACAGAGGTTGAGGAACTTGACTCACTTTGACAATGGGAGGAAGCTAATGCAGGGTGCATTTACACTATAGAACAGTGTTTCTCAACCTTCCTAATGCCGTGACCCCTGAATACAGTCCCACATGTTGTAGTGACCCCCAACCATCACATTTAAGATCTTCCGGGGGGGGGGGCTTTTCTCGATTCCACCACTGTCACAGTCGCGGTTGGTGGGGACGAGAGACAGGGCCTTCTCGATGGTGGCTCCCTGGCTTTGGAACTCCCTCCCACAGGAGATTAGAACTGCCCCCTCCCTCCTGACGTTCAGGAAGCTAACAAAGACTTGGCTATGGAATGCGGCCTTTGACAACTGAGTCAACTTTGGTCCACATGGAAGGAGAATGAATAACTGTGAATTATGACCAGGAATGCTTTGACGACGTGGCTATGTGATTTGTGATGATGACGATGTTGTATTGTAATATGTTTTTAATTGTGTAATGACAATGCATTGTATGGTTTGTATTTTTGTATATGAACACATGTTGTGAACCAGATCTGAGTCCCTGAGTCCCTCTTGTAGGTGAGAAGATCGGTATAGAAAAAAATAATAATAATAAAATAAATAAATTGTTTTTGTTGCTACTTCATAACAGTCCTTTTCCTACTGTTATAAATCATAATGTAAATATCAGATATGCAAGATGTATTTTCATTCACTGGACCAAACTGGGCACAAATACCCAATGCACCCACATGTAAATGCTAGTGGGGTTGGGGAAGGATTGATTTTGACATTTGGGAGTTGTAGTTGCTGGGATATATAGTTCACCTATAATCAAAGAGCATTCTGAACTGCACCAGCGATGAATCTGAACCTAATTTGCCACACAGAACTCCCACGACCAACGGAAAACACTGGAAGGGTTTGGTGGGTATTGACCTTGAGTTTGGGAGTTGTAGTTCACCTATATCCAGAGAGCACTGTGGACTCACACAATGGTGGATCTGGACCAAACTTGGCACAAATACACAATATGCACAAATGTGAACACCGGTGGAGCCTGGGGAAAATAGACCTTGACTTTTGGGAGTTGTAGTTGCTGGGATTTATAGTTCATTACAATCAAAGAACATTCTGAACTCCACCAACGATAGAATTGGCTCAAACTTCCCCCATGGAATCCCCATGACCATCAGAAAATACTGTGTTTTCTGATGGTCTTTGGTGACCCCTCTGACACCCCTTCGCGACCCCCTCGGGGGTCCCGACCCCCAGGTTGAGAAACAGTGCTGTAGAAGAAAGCAGTACCTTCGTAAGTGGCAAAGAAGCCCCGGCCAATCCAGTTGCTGCTGCTGCGGAATTCAATCCAGAGGCGGCTGTCGGTGGAGTGGATGGGTTCTGGGATTTTATTTCCGCAGAACCTACCTGGAGAAAGGAGCAATGCTTCCTTGAGTATGTCATCTGCATATCCGAAGCTTACTTGCCATCATCACTCAATGCGAAAACGTTATGCTTGCCTCCTTTTCTCTTATGTCTATGGTGGAGGCATATTGGAAACTGGATTTTGGTTGTTAAACTCCAGCAAAGTTATCAGGTTAATGAGAAACATTAGAAGAACCCAGGAAAGAACGAGATTTTTCTTGGATCAAGATGACACATTCTTCCAAATGTCCAGTTGTACCCATATCTGTTGTTGTTGTTTATTTATTGACGACATTTATATGCCGCCCTTCTCACCCCGAAGGGGACTCAGAGCGGCTAATAATATGTAAATACAATATATTACATTATTGTGCTAATATTGTGCTATGGTAATAGTATAATATTGTAATATATAATACTAATATTGTGCTATGGTAATTGTATAATATAATATATTGTATATACATATAATATTGATAATGTAACACAATATAATACCGCTACTAATAATAATATGATATTATACTTATATTTTTATATGACATGTAATATTACTAATAATATTACAGTATAATGGTATAGTACAATATAGTAATATATAATACTATTATTGTGCTATGGTAATAGTAAAATATAACATATTGTATATACATATAATATTGATAATATAACATAATACAATATAATACTGCTACTAATAATAATATGATATCATACTTATATTTTTATATTACATGTAATATTACTAATAATAATACAGTATTATATTGTGTTATATTATCAATATTATATGTATATACAATATATATATTACACTATTACCATAGCACAATATTAGTATTATATATTACTATATTGTACTATACCATTATACTGTAATATTATTAGTAATATTACATGTCATATAAAAATATAATATCATATTATTATTAGTAGCAGTATTGTATTGTATTATGTTATATTACCAATATTATATGTATATACAATATATATATTACACTATTACCATAGCACAATATTAGTATTATATATTACTATATTGTACTATACCATTATACTGCAATATTATTAGTAATATTACATGTCATATAAAAATATAAGTATAATATCATATTATTATTAGTAGCGGTATTATATTGTATTATGTTATATTATCAATATTATATGTATATACAATATGTTATATTATACTATTACCATAGCACAATATTAGTATTATATATTACAATATTGTACTATACCATTATACTGTATTATTATTAGTAATATTACATGTCATATAAAAATATAATATCATATTATTATTAGTAGCGGTATTATATTGTGTTATATTATCAATATTATATGTATATACAATATATTATATTATACTATTACCATAGCACAATATTAGTATTATATATTACTATATTGTACTATACCATTATACTGCAATATTATTAGTAATATTACATGTAATATAAAATATATAATTATAATATCATATTATTATTACATAGTATTACATTATAGTATTATTAATATTACATGTATATACATTTTATTATTATTATTATTATTATTATTATTATTATTATTATCAGTAGTAGTACTGGTGAAGGCCTTCATGGCCCGAATCACTGGGTTGCTGTGAGTTTTCTGGGCTGCCTGGTCATGTTCCAGAAGCATTTTCTCCTGATGTTTCACCCACATCTATGGTAGGCATCCTCAGAGGGTGTGAGGTCTCTTGGAAACTAGGCACGTGGGGTTTATATATCTGTGGAATAGTGTCCCGGGTGTGAGGTTTGAGGCAAATGTGAACGTTGCAATTGGTCATCTTGATTAGCATTGAATAGTCTTGTAGCTTCAAAGCCTGGCTGGTTGTTGCCTGGGGGAATCCTTTTTTGGGAGGTGCAGACTATTTGAGCCACAGAATTCAGCCAGTGGTAGAACTGTGTTTTTTTTTACACAACTAACAACCCGTTTAAAGCAATACAGACTAAAGTTCTGCAACATGTTCTGAAAAGTATATATATAATTAATAAAATAAATTAAAATCAAAACAGTAAACATATAATTTCACCCCCCAAAAGCTTCATCTACCGTATATTCCGGCATATAAGACGACTGGGCGTATAAGACGACCCCCCAACTTTTCCAGTTAAAAT